GCGCAGGAGGAGCACGAGGAGGAGGAGGAGACGATCGCATGCTCAGGAATGAGAGTTCCGTGGGTGGCTGATGCGTTTCTCTGTTTCACTGGTGCCTACAGAGCCGAGTCGAGTCGAGGAGGAAACGGAGGCAAGGAGGGGGGAGGGGGAGGGGGAGGGAGACGAGAGGGGAAGGGAGGATTGATCGGAAGAAAGAGGAAAGGGAGAGGATGAGCACTCTGGTGACGAGAGGGGGCGAGGAGGATGAGGACGACGACGAGGGAAAGGAAGAATGCAAGAGGGGGCGAGGAAAAAGGGCGAAAAGAAAAGGAGGAGGGCGCCACGGGGATACATGAATGGACTGGGGGGGCACGGCAGGATAAGGGAAAATGAATAATTGCGGGGTAAACAGCGCAGGCAAGTGAGAAAGGAGCAAAATCAAGAAGGGGGGGAGAGGAGGAGCCCATTGCTCGCAGTTTGTTTGTATGCCCCCAGCCCCCGCGATATTGTAGGATTGGGATCTGGTATACCCAACCGTGCCCTGAGGCACGAATTGCAAATAGGCTAGGAGGCCCCAAAAGGCTCTTCGATGTCAAAAAGGGTATGGTAAGCCGTACCACACATAACACCTCAAGCGTGCTGTAGTATCACATGGCGTATCTATCAAGAAGGCATGAGCAGGCGGATGAGAGATAAAGTACGGGATCGGAAGGTGCATCGTGTATGGGATCTGGGCTATACCCTTTTTCGTTAATATGATGCTACAGTACCTCGAAGACGAGGTATTCATATGCTAGTGGCTTTCCGCTCGAGCCCAAGCGGCGGCGGACGCAGGCACGTCGCTCGAAAAACTCGCCTTTGGTATCCGCTCTGAATCGGGAAGGGGAGGGGGGGTCGAAGGGGGGGGGTCGAGCGACGGGCCGCTTCAAGCTATATTATGTTGGAAAAGATAATTGCCCTAGCAGCGGCAATACACTGGCAATGCAGCGGACAACTTTGCTGCACTGCCAAAGAAATACCGCAAGTAAGCATGCACTGTAATAGGGGGCCAGCCACGGGAAATCCCACCGTGGAACTGGCGCAACTGCGCACGCAAGGGCAACCTTGCTGCTCCATCTGAGCAGCGGGTCCACCCAAATCACAATATGCACGGGCATCCGAAATGACCTTCCGACACCGTAACCTGCAACGCATAAAACCCGTGGCCAGGCAGCAACAGGCACGTGGCCATGCTGGCTCTCACGCCATATCCGCCAGCCCGATGTGGGCCAGACTCAGAAGATGGTGCTCGGTTGGCCCTGCACGGCGCGTAGCGATTTACCTCATACTTTCATGATTGAATGCCCGACATCACTTGTGGAAAGAATTCACGATCGACACAGCTTCTGGCCTGACCATCGTCCGCAATGTCATGCGCGCCACACCACTGCACGCCGTGCACGATGCCTCTTTCCACCAGTTGTCAAACCCAACTGATACGGCCAAGAAGGGCACGCGAAGTGGCTTTCTCAAAATCCTGACTAGATAGGGACTTGAAGACAGATCCGGCGCCACTGGTAAGTACTGCCTCAACGCATAAGCCACAGATTTCTAATATAGATTACTGAGTTGCGTCGGAGTAAGTGGCCCAGCCTTGCGCTCGCGCGGCGCAGCGTCGAGTGGGCAGCAGTCCTTCAAGTTGTGGGCCGATGCTTGGGTCTCGGCGGAAAATCTAGAGCGCGCGTGTAATCGATGTGATTATAGCACGCATCAAAAAGGTAAATGGTCGTCTTTCCGCCAGCCCGCACAGCGCCAGGCTGCCACGTCGGACGCCATGCACCAGGGGCGTCGTCGCGGGCATCGCCGTTAAGGAGACGATAACTGGAGTCGCTAAGTACGTCCACATGTTGGAGTCAGTATGTTGTATATAACAGTCCACAGGCATCGTTGCATCTTGCGCATTAGAGCTGAGTTGGACAATTGGAACGTCAGCCCGCTCTTGGACGCCGCAGAGAAACCACGCACACCAGCAACAGCACTTGAACGAACAAGACGCATGCTAACGCACCACGTAAGCTGATGAACATATCCGACACTGTTCGCCCCCTTGTCTTCTGCCTCAGCTCCAAATCAATACCCGGCACTACGCGGGGCGAAGTCGTCTAATATATTGATATTGTTCAAGCGGCCCTGGCACATCGCGCGGCGCAGCTTGCGCGGCTGCGTTGGTTGAGCTAGCATGCGCGGGGCGCACCTCCTACGCATTCGACGCGCTTGTCAATGGTGTCCTCGTCTCCAGCAATGCGCATGTCGTCCGCCTGATCGACTGCACGGAGGTTCGGGCCCGTCTCGAACCCTTCGCGGTAGGAAATTGGCATGGGACCGAAGCCCCGCGCGATGTCCCCGAGTTTCAGCGAGAGCACTCCGGGGGCGTCTGTGGAGCCCGTTCCTGGCTTTAGATAATGCAAACAGCGCCACGGTTCGCCGCGGGGCGCAAGGCCCGGCGGCGTTCTCATAATCGAGGCTGGGCCAGGCGGTAGCGCGAAGCACGCGGCGCGCTCTTTCTCACCACTGGCTGCAGTCACATCGCGGCGCGCCAAGTCCTTCAAGAAGGCCTCGTCTACGTCCGCCGCAGCCATTGCTTCTTGTTTGCGCCGCCATCCAGCAGGCCGAAAAAGAAGCAGCGGTTGCGGTCATTTCCCTGGTGCCAAGGGTGCCAAGCTTAACGACAATGACCACGACCACTGCTTTGTTTCTGCTGGCTGGAAGGCGGCAACCAAAAAAAAGCAGTGGCTGTGGTCGTTTTCACGCCCCGTACGCAATGATCCGAGACCTCGCCTACGCGGCCGCGCTGGCGAGCAGCCTGGCCACCCCGCCTAGCCGCGTCCGACGAGGTTTTTCACGCCGACAGCCTCGACGCCCACGAAACCTCGAAAAACGAGGGGTAGTCTGATGGCACGCTCCATCTCGCCCTCTTCGCTCCTCGCGAAATTCGACGCGCGCGCGCATCCCAGCGCCGTGACGTTCGGCGCATCATCGCTCGCCTGCGTCTGACACGATCACCGCCGGTGCAAATATTAAGTCCCGCGCACAGAGACGCGGAGGCATCGGAAGAATGCACCCGCATTGCAGCCTTCGCGAGGACGGCCAACCTTGACGACAACAGCGCTTATTGACGCAGCCGACGCGTAGACCCGCATCGCGGTCATCCGGCCATCGCTGGATAGATTGCGCCGTTGCTCCGCCAGAACCACTTTGGACAAATCCGTGGCAAACCAAAGGTCAACATACTGGTCGTGTTCGTCCGTGTACATACGGTAGGTCTCGCCATGTTGAGTTGCACCTGCGGGGGCGGGGTACGTCGCCTCGGTGTCGTGCTGAAGACGGCCCTGATCATGTGAGACTCCGTGCTCTTCACTAGCCACAGTCACGCGCATGCTGTTTTCGGCGATCATCTCAGTAGTACTGCACAATGGGATTGCAGCGGGGCGCCTTCAATGAGTGCCATGTCTCCTTGTAGCCCCATGTGCCGCGCCCCCAAGATGGGCTTCATGGCCAGCCTCCGACTCCTCCTGGATTGTCGGGAGACGGCCATCGCCAGCGGCAAGTGACGCCGTCGGTCGGCCCCCCTGAGCGCATCCGCTCGATGACGGCGCGTCCGCCGGGCCCTCGAACTCGGACAGGTCTTCGTCGAAGCGCGCCGAGGGTTTTGAGGACTCGAGGCGCTGCATGACTCGCGCGCGGGCGGGCCGGGAGATATCGCGCCCACTGCAGGCTGCGCCTTCGGATTCGTAATAGTGGAACCCTGGAGCGACGTCGCTGTCGCAGTAAACGGGCGCGAAAAGTTCCGCGCGCGGCGCCGCGGGTAGCCCGCGGACGCCGCCAGCCAAGCGCGCGGCCACAGCGTTTCAAATCCAGAAGCAGTGACTGCTGAGACGCTACAAAACTACATGTACCTTTGGCGAGGGCCTGCTCGCCGCAGCCACGCGCAGGCGCCCCTGCTCGGCGGGCAAGTGGCCGAACACCATGGCAGGCCCCCCGGCAAGTAGACTCGCGATGAAGGCCAGCACTGCGCGCGGGGCCGTCGCGTCGGAGCTCATCTCGCGGACTGCGAGTGCATCTACGCATGTTGCGCAACAGCGTAGGTCCGGATAGTGCACAAAGGCTTTATGGCCGACGCCCCTAACTACTGCCTGACCTTTGTTGGACAAACGCGCATGACTGGGCATGGTCCGTTCCATCCCCCCCCCTTCGCCCACGGTCGCAATAGGTCGATGGCAATTTACAAGTTCAGCTGGTTAGTAATTACGTTGCCCAGCTAGCGTCGCTCGCAATGGCACGTGCAATTGCTTCGACACTTACCTTCCTGACGTTCCGTTCGCGGTTGTCGTCGAAGGTTTCCGCCCCACGCTCGCGATCTATCACTGGAGGATCTAGGAGGCAAACTGTTTGTCGGCCATACAGGGCTCAAAGAACGCATTGCAAACAAACCAGGCCTCGTGCAGTCGCATACGGAGGACACGGGGGATGTTCAGTCTCTTGAGCTCCTCCTCGATGCCGCGCAGCGCGTTTTGCATAATGCCGTTGCACGCTGCAGTGGAAGTGGCACGCTGGCCTCGGGCGCGGATGCGAAGCTCCGCGCCTTGGCCTTCAAGATAGCCTCGGCGACGCCATTGCCCGGGACGCCTTCGCCGTCGGAGCGCACTGGCATGGCCAGACCGCATCGCATTCAGTTTTGGCCGCAAGCGACAAGTATCACGCGCATAGCCTGTTCGGCGACGCGTAGACCCACCGCCAATCAAACGCATCGGTCGACGATGTGACAGAGAAAAACTGTTGTCTATAAAAACATCACATCGCTTTGAATCTCTTCATTTGCGTTACCTGGCAGACTGACACATCGCACGGCCGCATTAACGCCCCCCCCCCACCCCCAGGCTCGACACTCACGACATGCGTCGCATGCCCCCAAGATGACGTTTAGGCGCGAGGTGTCCAGCCACCTTGGACGGGATCAGACGCACTGTCGTCTCTGAAGCACTTTACCAGCGTAGGTAGGGCTCCCAAAAATTTCATAACGACAAATGCTGGGCTGAAACTGCGTAGGCTCTGACGACTTACTTGAACGTCGAAGCGAGTCCAGTCGGGTAGTCTCGCACGTGGACGCGCTGCAGCCTGCGGCTAAGGTGACGGCGGTTCTCCGCAACCCTGCCCAGGCCCACGCATTCCTACGATTCGTCGAGGATCAGTGGAACTGCAAGCACCACACCCTCGCGCGAGGCGACAGCACCACTCCCGTTCAGGGATATGGCCGGCGCTCCAACGACAGCACCATTCGCCACCTTCCCCCCGATTCCGTGGGAGTCCTGCGTCCGCTCATCCTTGGGCCCGGGCATCCTTGCGCACAGAGTTGCGAGGCCGTCTCAGGCTAACGTGGGCTGCGGCGCGGGCCCCTGGCCCGCGGCGCGCGCATGTCCAGCGGCGGCAGGCGGTGAGCGCGCCAGCTGCTGTGCACCGAGGCAGCCGTTGCGTTGCTTCCCCCGCGCCGCGGCTGCTGCAGCGCGCCTCGCCTGCACGCGCACGCAGTCCGGCGCTTCCCGAGACAACGGTCTGACCGCCCGGCGCACCCGCGAAGGGCCCCGAAATTACCCCGTCATCCATGGCGAAACCGCGCGCGCCCACCCCAGCAGCAGACTGAGGGCCAGCAAACGCGTCTCCGACGCTGCTGCCGTCTGCCAGCCCCCTGGCGCCTCACCTGAGCGCCGCTGCTTTGCCGCCACCCTCGCCGCCCTCGCCGCCCTTGCTGCCCTTGCCGCCCCGCGGCTGCCAGCCAGGGTGCGCTGGGCAGTTGATGGCGCGGCGGCCCGCGCGGCAAAACTCGCGCGGGTGCGACCTGCGGTTGGGGCATTGGCCATCGACACAAGCCCCGTCGCGACCCCACTGGATGCAGAAGTCCTTCCCGTCGGCCGCCAGCTTACCCGGCCGTCGGGGTGCTGCTCCGCCAGGCGCGGGTCCGCCAGCCGCGCCGGCGTCGCCCCGTAGGCAGGGCGGGGCGTCCCCGCCTGCCGCCTGTCGGCCTTCCGGCACTGCTTGGCCGCCCAGGCCGGCTCCGCGGGTTGCTCTGGCTGTTGGAACGCCATGGAAGGCCTGGCGTGTGCTGCGTGGAGCTCCATGATCGCACCAGGTCCTGAAAACCCTCCAGCATTTCTCGCGAAGCTGTCTGGGCCGCCGATCTCAACAGATCGCCAGGTCCCGTCGGCCTGGAGGATCTGGGCGACGAACTTGTTGCGACGCTCCGAGCGCAGCTGGTGCGGACCCCACACGCCGAAGTCGACGTAGATGCCCAGCCCGTGGGTGTGCAACCAGCTTAGAGCCGTGAGCTGCGCGTCGCGGACCTGCTCGGGCTGGAGCAGGGGATCCCCCAAGGCCAAGTACCGAGCCCGCTTCGTCGCCAACACCTCACGGTCCAGCATGGGGACCTCCATGTCCCAGACTTGGTTGAGCACCAGGCTCAGGCGCTTCGGCCCCACGACGGCTGGATGTGCCGCACCCACAACCTGCATGTCCGCTTCTGACACCACCGCTGCTGGGGCCAGCGGCGGCATGAGGTCCACCAGCGGCAGGTGGACCTTGAGGCGCACAGCATTGACGAGCATGCATATCTTCACCCGATCGACATGGGTTGCCAGATAAAGGGATGCAATTGCCGCCTCGTGGATGTGTGGCGGAATTGCGGCCAACACTGGAACGGCACTAAGGTTCGGGTCCCCGAGTGCGGCGGTGCAAGCTATGAGAATGGGGGCGGGGACCGCGGCCCACGCCGCGACCGCAGCGATGTCCGCCCACTCTCCGATGACGCTGTCGTCTGAGTACAGCGCGCGGCCTGCCATCGCGGGGCCAGCTGCACACTAGCTCACACCGATGAGCACAGCCGGCAGCCGAACATGCAAGAGCCTCCCCCCTGAACGAAAATATGCACTTGAGCCAACATGGTTACGGACGGAAGTGCTTCTCCCACCCGCACCATCCCAGCGAGTCTGTTCAATGTTACCATGCGTATTGTCCAATACGCTTATGTCCACGCTTATTGCCACGGACGAGGCCAATAGCAGTCAGCATCGAATCGAGGAATCGGGTCGAATCGACATGTGCGTCGGAAGGGGCTGCACCAACACGGAGTCGAAATCTAATTGGATCGGCCGCGCCAGGATACACAACAGCGCCACGCGGGCATCGGGCCTCATCAGATCGCCCGAATATCGGAAACGAATCGGGCCGGGCCAGCGGAAATCAGGATTGAATCGCACCGATCGGGCCAAAACGGATCCTGCGAGGCAGACCCAAAGTCCGGGGCATCTGCTCTCGCAACCTTTTCGGCGGCCCTGCAGAAGCGAGACGTCCAAGCTCACTCGTGCAGGTGCAGCTCGTCGTCGCTTCTGATGTCTGACAGCTCGATCGAGGCCGTGCTCGCAAACAGGCAGGATGCGATGGCCTGCGACGCCGAAACGAGCAGCGAGACCAGCACCAGCGAGTTTATCTCGC